TATAATTTATAATTACTAATAGTTAAGGCACACCTAATGTGTGTGTTATTAACAAAAGATATTAAAAATGACAAGTATAATTTTTTTGTTGGAAAAATAGTAATTAAAATAGTTAAACTGTTGTAGTTTTAAAAAATGGTAGTTTTTAATTAGGGAAATGTGGTTAATTTAACAGATATGCAATGATTGCAAAAAGGTAAGTAGTTAGAATGATGTAATTCTCTTTAAAAGTAAGGGTAGATTAGGCAATACAATAAATGGCACAATTTTTTACACCAAGCCCCTCCCCCCCACTTTATATATAGTAAGATATACATATTGCGACATAAATGTTAAAAGTTTATATGTAAATTTGTATTAATTCATAATTATAAAATATATATTATATTTAATTATGAATTTGGGCGATACCCGATTTGAACCCAAAACTCATATAATAGTGTGAGTTGAGATTGAACCTTTTAACATGAGTTCGAAATTCGAAAGTTCGAAAATCCATATAATTTATTAATCGAGTTTAGACTTGCCAAAAAACCTATTCAAAAGACCTGATTGACACCCCTAGTTGCAAATAAGAACGTAAAAAGAAAGAATAATGATAGAAGTCCTTTATTTAAATTCCTCTGCTCTTTGCCCATTTCTTAACTCTCAACCTCCCCGACTTATAAAAAATAGTAACACACACCCACACATATATATCAGAAATATGTCATGCACTTTGAGCGTGGATATATTTTTTGAAGTTATAATATTTTTTATATACTAAATTTTGTTGCTAAATCTTGATTGTTAATATAATATATTCTAAGAAACTATGAGAAAATTCAGTAATTTCTAGTCATACAAAATGTATATTGCATATGAAAAATTTTTAAACATTTATTGTACATTCTAATGCAAAAAAATATTAAAGATTGAAGTTTAGCTAAGTTATTGTCTATTTTACTAGAATTGCAGCAAAAAGAAAACAAAATTTTCTATAATTTATGAAACCAATGCATAAATCAAAGTTAGCAAAAATATTTGCTAAAGCATGCTCATTTTTAGCTATTGCAAAAAAGATCATGAACTAGCCCCTTCTTCTAACTCCAAATAGAATCAATTGGAAATACTGGTCTCCAATATTAATGCAAAAGTTTAAGAATCTCTTAACATTCTCTAGGAACACTCTCAAATATATTGAAGTTAAAGTTTTGAATCCAAATCCTCATTTGCTTTAAGAACCAGTTTTCAATTTCAATATAACAATATTTTCCCTCTTTGTAATTGAGCTTTCTTTTTCATGCAACTTGAAAATTTCTTTTTGTAGCTTTACTCTTCACCGAATTTTGATTTAAGCCATTTTATGGGCTATAAATGGATCGATTAATGATTAATAACACTACTTTATTGCCTCATTTTCACATTGAGGAGTCCTAGCAATAGTGAAAATTAATTGATGGTTTTAGATTGAAACATTATATTAGATTGATTATGGGGATTGATTTTTTATTTTTGTAATGACTATTGCCTTCCCATATTTGTAACATAAATAAACAACCTTTCATGCCTCATAATAATAAAGTTTCATCAACAAAAATTAATCAATAATCCCTTCTTTCCCACCAACATATTCCTTGAAAGACAAATTTTTGTATCGCCATCTTGGACAATTTTGAGAAGAATTTTCTTTTCCAAGCAATATTTTAGTGACCTTTTATAGTTTAAGAAATTAAAAAGTGAGAATAATGGGAAAAAATGTGTGTTAATATAAGCACAATTTTAAAAGATTAACTGTATTCAAAAATTTGGATCGCCAACCACGTGTAAAGGAGAGTATGTTTTTCGTTTTCCATTTGGGTGGCTGCAAGATTTTATTTCTACATTTCCTTTTTTTTTTAATTTCGATTGCTTTATTGATCATCATACCGTTACTACTGGATCTATAACAGTCTAGACGTGACAACTCATTTTAAAACTTGGGATAATTTCAGAAACCTCTCCTGAGGTTTCTCACAATTACAAAGAGCTCCTCTCAAGTTTTAAAAATTACATATACCTCTCCTACTTTTACTGTTTAGTAACAATATAGGTCCAAGAGTTTAGATTTTCTTTCAAAAATCCTAAATTACTCTTTTATACAAAATTAAGAAAGAAAAATATAGTATACTCAATCATTTTCTTCCACAGTTTACATAAATTAATAAACCAAATCCCTAACTAACAACCATCCAAACATAAGTTCTAAATCAATTAACCATCCAAAAGATTTCAAATTGATATATACAATATCAATTGCCACAATAAAAAAAAAACATACAAAACCCCATTGACAATCAATTTTATACCCCCAAATTAAATATCAATGCTCAAATACCTTTTCAATATAAGCTAATTTGATCGAGAACCACCATTATAAGTCTCATATGGTCTTAAAACATTAATATCTTAAAAGTTGAGAATAAATTCTACCTCCACAATAAAATCATAATAAAAAATTTCTAATCTAATGAAAAAAATCATTATGTAATTATTGACATTTTATAAATTTTTTCTTAACAATAAACAAAATATGACAAATTTTACATCTTTAGTTCTTATTCCTATTTCAATCATCAATTTTATTATTTATTTTTCTATCACTGCGAGCCTTTTCATTTCCTTTTAGTTTGACATATAATCTGCCCCTTTTGTAGATTTTGTAATTTCAATTTATTAATATTTACAAAATTGAAGATAATAAAAAGAGGTTATATTAAATAAAAAATAGACAAGAGACAGAAAAATAGATTTTTTTAGCTTTTGTAATTTTATTGCCTTAAATCTAAAATTGTTTATTAAGTGGAGGGCATTATAGGTATTTTAATATGTCAATGGAGGTAAGTGTAATTTCTTAAACCTAAGGGGAGCCGAGTGCAATTGGAGGTTTTTGAAATTATCCCTTAAAACTTTTTCTTCTCTCCGGTTATTTCCGTTTATTGCCAGTTATGTCTGACACATGTCTTCACATCACCTTCACGTAAGCGCATTACGTGCCCCGCATTGTTTGTCTTCCGTGTGGTCTCCCAAGACGTATATACTTTGCGTCAATATTTTAAAGAGCGGACCGTTAATTGATTCGGTGAGATGTTCGGGTCGAGATTTAATTAGTCAGACCGATTCAATTTTGATTCAATAAATTTTTAAAAAAATAATGTATATAAATATATATGCACAAAATAAGACATACATTGGACTAATTTAAGACTTTATATAATGAAAATTTTAATATTTTCAAAAAAGTTGGATTTTCATAAATAAAAATTTTAAATTATAAGTTGAAATAAATAAATTTCATCTCAATCTTAATTGAATTTACCAAAAAAATAATGTTAAATCCAACTCAAAAATATCACAATATTTTGAAATTATACAAAATTCACGTCTATGAGAATTAGACATTGTAAGTTTAGATTTTAATTCAAGTTTTTGATATTTAGATATTGCAACTTAAAAAAAAAAAGAAGTTTTGAGTTTGGAGGAAGTCAAAAAAATAAAAAATAAAAATACAAACTTGATAAAAGGCAAAAAATGAGAAGAAAGTGAGTGAATGTAGCATTTAATAATTAGGTTTTAGGATTAAGGAAAACATATTCTTTTTAAAAAAAAATTTCAATTTAATAGACAAAAACAAAAAACCGCCGATTCAATGATTCAATCCGGTTCGCACGATTCGAACGGTTCAATCCGATTTTTAAGTATAATCAACTCAAAACATGAACCGGACCGAAACCAAGGCTGGTTCGTAGTTCGACTGGTCCAGTCCAGATTTCAAAACACTGCTTTGGATCTGTCAAAGCCACTTTCAAAGCGTAGCAATTTTAGCAATGACCACAAATAGTTACTCGAAGAATAATAATAATTATAGACTTGAAATGGGATATAATGAGAGATTACATGTATCCTTTATAAGTTAGATTTCGACAATTTAAGAAGAGAATGACTCAAATTTCAAAATGTAGGTAGAAAAATTTCTATTGTAATAAGTATAGGTTTAGGAGTCTTGATAAATACAGATTTTCAAAATTTCCCTTTTAACTTTTTTATTTTTCACATATATATTAAAATTAATCTTTCCTCATCGAAGGTCTGGATGAATACTATATTATGTCACTTTAAAGTAAAATATCAAATTTTATATACGTAACATGTATCTAAATTATTAGTGTATACACTACTAATATATAAATAATTTATTTCATACATTATCCTTTACAACAAATATTCTGTCATTCGAACTATTTTACTGCTATACAATAAGCCGTTTTATGTGACATCTGCCTGAGTTGATTGCTAATGGTAATACTTAGTAAATTGTGAAACAAATCTGATACTACACACAAAAGCAAGATTAGCAGGCTCCGGTACGAGGAAAACCGCATGCTAATGTGACATCTGCCTGAGTTGATTCCTTTTTTAATCTTTATTTATTTTTAATTTGGCACATTGGTTCCCCAAGCTACCCTTCAATCACATGCTTCCACGTTATGCAATTGGAATGGGTACCAATTACCAACAACCATTCACACCTCATAATAATTCACGTGCGGCTTGTCAAACAAAAGTAGAATCCACCAACATAAAAACTAATGAATTTCTACAACAAATAAAATTAAAAATGCAAGGAAACAAACACATACATCGATTCTCTGGACTGTTAGGTCTCGGGCCGAACCAAGACATTAGTCTCCAAATTATTAGGTCTCAAAATCAAAGGATTCAAAATCCATGGAAATGGAAAAGAAATTAATGTTGGAAGAGTTTTCTGTTGCAAGAGGTCAATGCGATTCGAACAGAATTAGTCGTAAATCGTAAAATGGGTGCGATGCATGTGAATTATACCAAAAAAAAAAAAGAGAAATCGAAACAAAAAGAGTAGAACCTTTTTCTCTATTTCATGAGTCATTATCTTTCTTGTCCACATCATGGATTGAAAATGGCAAAATGCCTGAGCGTATATAAATAAGGCCACGTTGAGAGACTGGGCAGCGCTAATTCATTCATTCCCTGCCAATATAACCGAAACTTTTTCAGCAAAAATTTCATTATAGTCACAGCCACCGGCGGCTTTCTGGATGTCCCGGCGAACCCTGATTAAATCTTTCTTTGCATTAATTTCAAGAAATCCAAATGGCGGGTCAATCAAGAAAATGGATGATCCTTCTGGCTACTGTATGGATTCAAGCATTTACGGGGACAAATTTCGATTTTTCGGCATATTCGTCGGAGCTGAAGGAGGTTCTAGGGGTGTCACAGGTGCAACTGAACTATTTAGCGACAGCGTCGGACCTTGGCAAGGCGTTTGGGTGGTCGTCGGGGTTGGCCTTGATGTATTTGCCGTTGTGGGTGGTGATGCTCATTGCTGCCTTCATGGGACTAGTTGGTTACGGAATCCAATGGCTTGTGATTCGGGAATTTATCACCTTGCCTTATTTTGTGGTAAGTTTTTTCTCTTCATCTTTTCTCAATACTCTTGTACTGAACTCTTGGCATATACGGCTTTAAATTTTCCAAGTCTAGTAAGATAGTTAATAGGTATGCTTAATTGGTACCATTTAATATACTAGCAAAATACAATTAGCTAACATTTTTCCTTATTGCTACACTTAACTTACACTTGATATGTGTACTACAAAAATGAATGAACTCATATTTATTGTCGGAAACAGTTTCATGGCTTCGAAGAACATACTATTATTACACTTCCCTTTTGTCCTTAGTGATTCTTCCGTCAGCATAAAATGAAATTGTTTATTTATTTTTTAAAAGTAAAAGAAATTCAGTGGGTGGCTATATAAATGTTTCCCTTTTATTTCTTTGGCTTTACTAGAATGGTTTTTTCTAGGGCGTTTCTATAAAAATTGTGGTAACATATTTTGTTAAACTTATATGAGACAATAAAAGTTGTTAGTAGAACCCAAAAAAAATAAAAAGAAAAGTTGTTAGAACCATCCTATGAAGAATTACATAAAAAAAAAAAAAAATGTTCCCACATTTGCATGGTCCTTGTGAACTTGAGCGGATGATAGTTTCTTGGTCCAAATTGGTTCATACTATTTCTTTAACAATTCAACGATGATGGTGATGAATTTAATATATAATTACCAACAACACATGACTAGCATATTAATATGAAATATTTAATAGGTGTCCAATAGGTATCCGTTACATAGTTATAACAACACTTGACTGGTATATTAATATGAATTTTTGAATAGATAACCAATGAGTATTCGTTAATATGCTTCAATCACACCTAAATAACTACGTAAATACACACTTACCTTTACTGTACTCCCTAAATCATGACACTTTTCTGAAGCACAATATATAAGCACACGTCTAAAAGAGGTGAATTCATTAAACTCTGATATTATTATCAAGGCAAATTAGGAAAAAAAAAAACCCATCCTATGAGTGGAATAGTTCATATTTATATTCCCCAAAATTGAGACATTCAATATAAAAAATAAAAAAGACGCCATTAAAACATTGTCCTGCATGCTTTCTTAACTTTCTTTCAAAAGGTTGAAAAAAGAATCATTAAAAAAAAAGAAATAATCTTTTTTGTTTCTTTTTTTTTTTTTGTGAAAAGAAAGATGTGCATCATTGTAAAGGTCATCTTTTGATGGGAGCTTAAATAACGTTCTTGTGCAGTATGCATTTCTTTAATTATTTTCATATTATTCATTCTCAACGGAAAAAGAACAAAATATGTATGGTACCAGTACCACATTTGTTGTGCAATTTCTGTGGATGCTTTTAGAAAGAAAGATAGTGATAGGAAACACAAAGAGGCTTTTGACCATGAATAGATAAAAAGGAGAATGATAGCTACGAGAATATACTTTAAAGTGAAAGAAAAAGTAGTACATTCCAGTTTCTTCTGCTAATTCTACCACTTCACCACTATGATTTTGCACTTTTTCTTTCCTCCGCTGGAAAAAGATGTCCAAATTAAACTTTTTAATCGAGGTACTGCGAATTACAAAGATCGTTTTGTTTTTGTCGAACTATTTAATTTTATCCCTTCATATTTACTTGTATATGACATCCAGACGTGTCACGGTGAAAAAGAAAATAGAAAATTATTTTCCCCTAAATTTTGGGCTTTATCAAATTCTCAAAATTAAATTGATTTCTTACTATGTATCACATCCTCAAGAATTTTTTTGATAGATTAATTCATGTTTCTAAACCATAATGACCTTCTTTCTCTAATCTATTTTCTTTGTATATATAGCTTTCCTAGAAAAATAATTTGTTATGACAGTTTTAAGTTACAACAAATACTGTTGGTCGATATCAAAATTTTAAGAGTTTTGTATAATTTCACTGTCGGAAGAAATAATATTTCAAAGTTGGCAGCCATAGAATAGAAATGTCAAGTTGGACGATTCCATATGGTGGGGGTAGTAAATGGAACACATATTGACACAATGACATATGAATATAAGAATCAAAATTAGCTGAAAATATATGGTTTTTCATAATCATGTAATTATAGCTGTTAAATCCTCTAATGAAAGGATAAAATAAGCTTTAAAAATATTAAAATTTGTATAGGACTTTTTTATTTTACTTTTTTAATTATATTTTTTTCCTTTTTTATAAGAGAATCAATAGTATTCTTACTTACCCGTTTAATGACTCGAATTCATGACTTCTCGATTATGATAAAATGTCGTGTCAACAAAACCACGCTTAAAAATAATTAATCGTGTCAACAAACACCACCTAAAGCCTTCATCCTATGTTCATCTATGAGGAGTTATTTACCTCAAAAATAAAGATGAACCAAAAATCTCAATATCCAGGCTCACAATGGCCTCAGCAATCTAACTTTCAAAGCCATAAAACCCATAGACATTCTTACAAAGGAAAAACTTAAAACCCATAGAAAAGTACTTCAAGAAATGTCAGGACAAGTGAGACTACGGCCCCATTTGGAAGGTGAGTTTTTTGGGAGTTTATCTAAAATTTTACTGTAACTTACTATAGAAGTTTTTAAAAAAATTTTTGAGATGTGTAAACTTTTTACTATTTTGAAGTGTATAGTTTAAAAACTTTGAGAAATTTTTTAAGGTTACTGTAACTAAAATTTTTAAAAAAACTTGTAGCAGACAAATTTGATAAAAAAAACCTGGGTTCCAAACAGACCGTACATTCAATGAATAGAAAAAGGAAAAAGTGAAAGGAATCCATTTTCATGGAAGACACTTTTGCAGGCTGATAAGCGATGAGGGTCATTTAGTCTTTTTATTGTTTCTATCATTAACGGGAGTTAGTGCTGGTGGGAATCTGTTATATGGTCAAATTACAAGGTTTGATTTGTTATTTGATCAAACCTGAGGGGAGGTTAATATAATTAACCCTTTTTTAAGGTTAAGGATTTAATAGTTGCAACAGAAGGAGGGGGAGCAATCCTATGGTAAGTGTGGTCCTACCATTCTCTGTCCCTACTCACCAATCTCGTCAACAAATGAGAATGATTAAGCAAATGTATGCTAATAAGATCTACTCATTTATTGGTAGAAAGAAGATTTATTTATTATAGTAATTTCATAATTTGAAAATGGGAAATAGCTTATTACCATGATTCTTTGGAACCACTCTTCTTGGATGACAAGAGAAAGAGAGAGAGAGAGAGAGACTAAACTACAATGCAGAAAACAATCACATAATAACTTTTGCCTAGTAAAGTTTCGATTAGGACTTGTTAGACTTAATTTCTAACCATCTCCTTCACACCATTACAATTTAAAAGCACCAAACTTATACGGCATTTGCCAAAGTTCAGTAGAATTATTTAGAAATGACATACAAGTGAGTGTGCTACAATACTTTGACAGTGAAATGCCCCTTCAATTAGGACCAAAAGCCCCCCTTCAATAGCCATCAATAAGGACTTGTTTAGTGAAATTATTAATTCATATGTATACAGTTGGTTATGATTAATTCTCAAGACGTGGTTATTACTAATTAATAACAAAAACAGAGTAGCATAAAATACTTGTGCAGCTGTTCTTTGTGGAAATTTTCTGACAATACCATTGAGCAGTTGAAACATTTGCCCCATTTCTTGTTTTTGCCCCCTTTTTATTTTTAGTTTCTTTTTTGTGGCTCGAGTTAAGCCATGTAATTATACTACTGGTTCAACAAATCACATAATTGGAGCTCCTTGCAACTCCAAATTCTGTTCTTGCTAATATGTTCTGAAAAAGGAACAATATCAAGACGACACATGATAGAATTGCTGTAGAACTTGGATAAACTTTTGAGTTGTATCTCTTATCTAAATTTCGGATTAGAGGCCTCGCAAGTTCCAGTCCAAACCAGTTTGCTCCTGAGATGTAAATAGGTGGAAGTATGTTTTGAATGAATTTAGACATGGTGTAAACTTACAGGATTGTGATGTAAAAAATAAAAAAGAACCATTTTGCCCTCAACTGGACTGAAATGGAACTTGTGAGGCGGTGATCCTTCTCCTACTACTACTTTTTTGCATTCTTTGTATTGACCCTGGCTGCCTGTATTTCCATTGCAGATGTTCTTGCTTTGCTTGTTGGCTGGATGCAGCATTTGCTGGTTCAACACAGTCTGTTTTGTACTCTGCATAAAAAACTTCCCATCTAAGTCTAACAGACCACTAGCACTTGCTCTCACAGTGAGCTTCAATGGAGCAAGCGCAGCATTTTACAATCTTGCTGCTACAGCAATGAACCCTTCATCTAGTGCACTCTATCTTCTTCTCAACGCCTTCATACCGTTGTTCACATCTCTGGTAGCACTCATTCCTATTCTTCGTCAACCAACTCTGGATACCCTTCCTCCTGATGCTGTCAAGCGTGATCAGTTTATATTCATCATATTGAATTTCTTGGCTGTCATTACTGGCATATATCTCCTTCTTCTACATCCAGTGAGTACAAAAGCCGCACGTTTCCTATTTAGCGGTGCCATTTTCCTCCTCCTGCTTCCCTTAGGTATCCCTGGTATAGTATATGCAAGAAATTGGTTCGATCAAAAAATTTACTCACGCTTCCGCATGGAAGGCTCCAGTTTCATACTTATTGATCATGATGATCTTGAACTGCATAGGGGGCTTCTTAGTCGAGATAATAGCTTAAGAAATGGATCCCTTTGTTCTGTCGATGGTGACGAAAGTGTTAAAGGAATTTCTAGACAAGAAAGTACTGAATCCAATGGAAGGTGTTGCAAGACTGTAATTGAGAAGGATCAATTGATAATGCTAGGGGAAGAGCACAAGGCTCGAATGCTTGTTCGTAGGCTGGACTTCTGGCTATATTACTTGGCATACTTCTGTGGAGGTACAATTGGATTAGTCTACAGCAATAACCTAGGGCAAATTGCAGAGTCACTTGGACAATATTCAAAGACTGAACTCCTTATAACACTCTATTCATCCCTCTCTTTCTTTGGTCGCCTGCTTTCAGCTGTACCAGACTTAATCAGGACGTAAGTTCAGGACTTTATCTTTTTGTATGGTAAAGTGTACATTGCACATGTTTTGTAGTTCTGTTTTGTTTTCAGATATTTGAGAATCGGAAGGAGAAAGGGAAATCAGAATTTGGATCCCTGACTATAAGCAGAGTAGCTTCCTAACAATTAGGTTACTGTTGAAGTGGTTATGAATGCTGGTTCTAACTTTTGAACTATTTTGTATGTGCAGAAGATTCTATTTCGCAAGGACTGGATGGTTGGCAATTGCACTGCTGCCTACACCAATCGCATTCTTCTTGCTTGCTGTAACAAGCAGTCAAATGGCACTTCAAGCAGGAACAGCTTTGATTGGATTGAGCTCTGGCTTCATATTTGCAGCTGCAATTTCAATAACATCTGAGCTGTTCGGGCCTAATAGTGTAGGTGTCAACCACAACATTCTCATTACAAACATCCCTCTTGGATCACTTCTGTATGGTGTCCTTGCAGCAATAGTCTATGATGCCAATGCCGGTTCAGGCCTTGGAGCCGTCACTGACATGGTCTGTATGGGTAGAAAATGCTATTTCTATACCTTTGTTTGGTGGGGAGGCATCTCCATTTTGGGATTAGCATTCAGTGTGCTATTATTCTTGAGAACTCGACCGGCTTATGGTCGCTTTGAACAGAATAGATTATCCACATTGTTGTATTAGGAGCATAAAGTGTATAGAACTAGTCATCTCCAGCTTAACGTGTAGGGATTTTCTTAGCACTCAGTATGGAAAAACGTACAACTATTGCTGATGGGAATGAACTCGTTTTCCTTGGAAAATGTCTGCTCTGATAGTTTTAATTTCAGGTTGCAATTTTGGCAGATTTGAATCTCTCTACTCGTTCTTGCCCATAATTCAGGTTAGACTAGCTCTGATTTTACGACATTTGGTTCATTTCTAAGTGCATCAGAAAATTGTAATTAACCAATCAAAAAAAAAAAAAGAAAAAGAAAAGCCAATTATGATGTGTATTTGTTGGTCGTAAATTTCAAGAAGGTCTAACTACTAAACACCTCTCAATAGTTTATGCTTTCTATCTTAGCATGGTTGCACCATGTCAACCAAGGAGTAAAATCATTCATACGTTGAAGAAGCAAGAAATAGATAAGAACAAGAGGAGTATTAGTTTCTTTATATAAAAGAATTTATTATAAAATGCAAAGCAATCTACATAGTCTTCAAGAACAAACTAGTTTCGGGTAAGAAGAGTATAGAAAGAAGAATCAAACTGTCTAAATGTAGTTACAAAACGTTTCATTCTTGATGCAAAGGAACAATCTCTCATATGCTAATGCCATTTTCTGTGCAGTAAACATTGAAGACGCATAGTCTCTACATGACTTTCCTCTCTGTGACAGTCTCTTTGATCCTTCTGCCACCACCAACTCCAAAGCCTCTAACAAGGATTCTACATTCGGCGAAAACATGAATCCAAATTCATCATTTACAAGAATTGTACCCTTAATGCTAGGGAATCTTGAAGCCATCACAGGCTTTCCACTCATCATAGCTTCCATGAGTATGAGATCAAGCCCCTGTGGTCTAAGCGTTGGATTAACAAAAATGTCAATAGAGCTATAAAAAGCGTGTAATTCTGATAGATTCATTGAGCCTAAAGCAATCACTTTAGGCCCTAAATCTCTATATCTTTGTAACCATGGTCCAGAGCCTGCAACTATCAAGTAAACATCACTGTTTTTCTCCTTGAGTTTTGAGAAGGCTTCATATAGCAATGGATGACCTTTATCCTTCACTAGCCTTCCAGCAACACCAAGTACTAAGCTTGCATTTTGAGGCACACCAATTTTGGCTCTGAATTGATTGCCTAATCTCAAATCTTCTTGAAAATCTTTCTCATTTACGCCATTGACAATAACATGAACTTGTCTACTTGGAATTTGGTACACATCCCTTAGCATCTCCCCACAGCTGTCGCTTATAGCAACATGGTGAGCATAGTTTCTGAAGAATCTAATCTCATACAGAACTTTGGGGATCACCCCATGTAGACTACTATTAAAAGCAGGAGAAATCGGCTCGTTAGGCAGCCATGCCAAATCTTGATATATACTAGACTGCACACTCTCGAGGGCTATACCGTGCCATGATACGACTAGGTTTGGAACATGACGTGCTACGTGGAACGGAAGTGCTACACTTTCTGTATGAATTACATCAAATTCTCGGCGATTGTTTTCTGCTTCATATTGCTCCAAAGCTTTATTATACCGCCATCTTCCCGGTTCACCCTCGTGCCAATGAATTACAGGTGAAAAAGATTGACTTTCTCGTGGAACATTCTCATCTTGATCAGGTGGAGAAGTGAAGACATGAACCTGATGTCCACGGCGAGCTAAAGCAGTATGTAAGGTGTGCGCATGGCGCTCCATGCTACCAGGGGTGGCACTAGTTGGCCATTTTCTTGAGAAGACGGCGATTTTAAGAGTTTCTGATGGGGGATTTTCATGGTTGAACTTTAGACGATTCCAAGCAAATTCAGCAGTGCGAAGATCACCTGACCATGACTTGTTTTGATTAAATGAATTTTTGCATACTGAACTTGAAGGGGTGTGAAGGAGAAGAAGAGCTGGGATTGTGAAAACTACAATAAAACAAAGGGTTGTGGAGAGGCTAGATTGGAGGGAGATCACAGGTCTTTTGGGCTTGCTAACTAAGGCCATTTTTCTGTGGTGGTTTGGAAGTTTGGGTTGAATTCGTGTACATATTTAGTTGGGAAGTCTATATTGTGAAATTGAATAAATGGACTTTGAGAGTTGTAAACTGAAAAGTTAAGCAAAGTGGGAAGTTAGGCACGATTACAAGCAAGTGCATTAGGTTGGAAGTTGTCCAAAGCATACGTTTCTAATGCCGCTTTTTCCAAAAAAAAAAAAAAAACAGAAAAAAAGTGCTTCTCATGCCATAAGTAATGCATGTAGCTTCCTTTTTGCACTGTAAGAAGAGAAGTCATCAGTTTTATTTTATTGAGTCACAAGTTTTTTGCTTTCATTTTCTATTATTTTTCTTGTCATACATAGTCATGATCATAATTGAGTTTTTATGAACAGTTGTTCGAAATTCTGTCATGATTTCCATTGAGAAATGGGAAGTAATTTTACTTATACATTTATGCTTCTTTTGTTGTGGGGGAAGGGGGGGTTGTGGGGTGCAATGTATCCATTTATGCAAATTTTGCGTGCTTCATTTTTTTCTTTTTTTCTTTTTTTTTTGTGAACCAGAAACAGGGGGAATATTTTTTAAGTTCCAAAACAAGTTCTTAGAAAAGAAATTCGAAGGGCAAAATTATTATGTTTTTGAACATTGATTGTGTCTGCCCCCCTTGTGCATCCTTCTTGGAATGCCATGTATGAAAGACGACAGTCACATGCAATATAATAAATATACAAGAGGATGGTTATTAGTTAAAAAATAAAGAAAATTATGAAAGTAGAAATTCTCATAGAAAAACTTGACAATTTTATTGTACAACATTTTTTTTTTTTTGAAGAAAATACGACTGTTTGAGTAAAGACATCTCTTTGCTTGATTATTAATTCCAAATGCAAAATACAACTTTATATATGCTATGAGATAAAGATTAATCCATAACTTACTTTGCACCACAAGTAAATTGTCACAAGCTCCAACTTCGCAAAAAAAAATAAACAATTCATCCCGAAAAGGGTTGAATAAAAAGAAAAGATTCAATGAATAAAAGACTTATAGTTTCTTTCCCCTTTTTTTCCTTTTTTGTTCCTTTCTACAGAGATCCAGTAAAAGTCTAAATTTAAGATCTCAAAGGTGAACGATTAAATGATTTGGCCAAAGCAGACGGCAGAGTATGTGGATTTAGACCGAATTCAGCCATCACTCTATGACAGGCATTTTAGGCAGGTTTCAAGTATTTTCTTCTGTACGTAATTGATCTGGATTCACGTTTGACTTTCGGACACTGACCTCGTTTGCTTGCTTTCCATTCTAAGCACCATTTCCCATGGGATTTCTCTGACTGAAAAGTCAACTCTAAGAATTCCCATCCAACCGGACGGTAGTCATAACTTAATAATGTTTTAATCTATGTTTTTAAACTCGGACAGGACAACTGTTTAATCCAAGCGGTCTGAATTACTTTAAAAAATCATCTTTAAAAAATTCGATCAAATCCGATAAAAAATTGGATTTGACCAAGAATTGATGAAACCAGACAAAACCCAGTTTTTTTCCTTTGCGTTGGAATAAGACGGATGCTTTGACTAGTTTTGCCAAGATGAAAAGAAACGTAGTGCTGCAGTACTTCGATTTGAAAGCCCCTTGTCAAACCTCCTTAGCTAACCCAAAATTTTTTTGACCAAATATGCATGTAGTTCTCGTGTCCTAATTCCCAACTGGATCCTAATTTGCCATGCATGAGATGAACAATCACACAGAAGCGATAGAGAGAGTTGAATTGGATTTAGGATAAAGAGGAAAAAAAAAGAAATGAGCAAAAAAGGGAAGAGAAGAGAGAAGAGGGGAAAAAAAACAATGAAGAAAGGAGAGAGCATTCATGTGAGTTTATTGTATGATATAAAAGAAGAGAAGAAGAGTTGGTCATTGGTGTAGCGAAGAAGAAGAAGAAACAAAAGAAAGTAAAAAATGGGAAATCAAGTGACAGCGTAACAAAGAAAATGGGAGTTCCTAATTAGGTTTGACATTTATGTACTTTGAAAACCCTAAATGTTTCGCTATTTATATTTTGACCCTTTATAATTTTAGCAAAATGTAAAATTAACCCATCATATTTTCTAAACTACATTTCTACTTATAACTTTTAAAGTTATTCAACTAGAGTCCTTTTGGGTTAAATCTAAATTCATCAAAGAACCATATAAAGTAGTAAACCACTAATTTAAGGGACACTTTTATATATTATTTTTTATTATATATATTAATATATATTTATGACGTCATTCTATTTGACCCCGGATCAAACCCGATTGAACCCATTGACCCCTGAGTTCGGCCGAGACAATATCCAGTCTGAGTTTGAAAACATGGGTTTTAATCCTCGAATTGGTTAGTGATTGGTGAGATATCTGGATTGCAGTTCAATCAATCTGATTGATTCAACTCCTATTCAATAATTTTAAAAAATAATAAAATACATAAAAATATGTGCAAAACATAAGACATTCGACTAATATAAGACATCAATTGATAAAAACGTAAATATTTCAATGAACTTGGGCCTTCAAAGATAAATTTTAGGAATCAGTCTTTATGGCTCTAAAATACTATTTTTTCTTTTTTTTTTTCCAATTTAATTGACAAAGCCATACAATCACCAATTCACGATTCATTTCGATTTGCATGATTCACATGGTTCATACAGTTTTTGATTGGTTTTTAGCCCTAGTCGAGTCAAAATATGAGTTAGATCGGAGCCATAATTGATTGGCAATTTGATCGTTCGAACCAACTGATCAGATTTGATTTCAAAACATTGGTCGTGGGAATGATTTGTAAATTAACTAAAATTTGAAAAAGTATCTTCTTACATAGGTAAAAGTTGAGCATCTTGTACTGTGGATATGACTATTAATCTTAGAGATCTGAAGGTGTTACTCTAAAGATTAGCAAGTAAATATTTTTATTCTGTAGATCTTGTACATGGAAAAATCGAAATGATTAAAAAAATTTTGGACATGTCTTGATTTATATGAGCATTTTGATTTGACAGGTGGTAGCTATGGGATAATTCATATAAACCTAAAAAACATTCTACATGTGTGATATATGAAGC